GACTTCAGTAAAAGGATTTAAACTCATAACTTCCTGACACTACAGCCTACCTCTCCTATATACCTTGCACTATGTCTTCATCTCAACGTTCACACCTTAGGTCTTTGTCCTTTTTCTGCAGTTTGCCCTTGTCTTCATGGCATTAGTTTGGCTCTTTTTTTTTTTTGAGACAGAGTCTGTTGTCCAGGCTGGAGTGCAGAGGTGCCATCTCAGCTCACTGCAACCTCCGCCTCTGGGGTTCAAGTGATTCTCCTGCCTCAGCTTCCCGAGCAGCTGGGGTTACAGGTGTTCACCACCATGCCTGGCTAATTTGTGTATTTTTAGTAGAGATGGGGTTTCCCCATGTTGGCCAGGCTGGTCTTGAACTCCTGACCTCAAGCAATCCACCCACCTCAGCCTCTCAAAGTGCTGGATTACAGGTGTGAGCCACTGCACCTGGCCTGAGCGTTAGTTGACTTTTTATTTGCAAACCCTGTGGACTACTTTTCTTACCCCTGGCTGCATATTAGAATCAACCAAGAAATTTAAAAATCACCTGATGTTCATGCCACATCCCAGACAAATTAAATCTGAATCTCTAGGGTGGGGCCCAGGAGCCGGTATTAAAATCAGTGATTTCATTATGCAACTAAGGTTAAGATCATTCCTTTAATGGTACTCACACATGCCGTGACATGCCTGCTCTGCACCCTCAATGACATACCTTTTCCATTCCCAACCCTGGGTAAGGCATCCATCTTTCTCCCCTACTGGAATTTTTCTGCACTAAATTGGTAATTGTGCTGATTTATTCTCTATTGGTTCATGTCCTTCAGCTTGATTGGAATGGCTCAGCAACTCCATGTGAGCAGCACCGATAAGGTAGGTATCCTGCTTTGGGCCAGGCCCTGTGCCCGAGGCACAGACGCAGATTTCTCCAGCTTTGGAGAACCATGATCTGGGAGGATATCAACACCCAGGCACTCCCTATTTTTGGATAGGGAGTTTCTAAACAAAGGATTTTCTAACATTTATAAAGAAAAAAAGAGGCTTGGTGAGGTGGCTCATGCCTGTAATCCCAGCACTTTGGGAGGCATGGGAGGCACTTTGGGAGGCAGGAGAGTCTCTTGAACCTGGGAGGCAGAGGTTGCAGTGAACCAAAATCACACCACGGCACTCCAGCCTGGGCAAGAGAGTGAGACTCAGTCTCAAAAAATAAAATAAATAAAATAAATTTAGAAGGAAAGAGGAGGAACAGATAGATTATCCAATAAGTATAACTCGAATGGAAGTTTGATATCAGCTGGAAAGTGTAGGGCCTAGTGATAGGTATATTTGAAAAAAAGAGATCACGATTAACCTTGGGGAAAATAAATTTGTATGAAAAAAAGGAATATAAGTATATACTGACTAGTAGCTCAGTATGAGTAACATTTATGCTGGGCACCGTAGCTCATGCCTGTAGTCCTAGCTGCTCAGAGGCTTAGGCAGGAAGATCGCTTCAGCACAAGAGTTTGAGGTTGCAGTGAGCTCTGATCATGGCACTGCGCTAAGCCTGGGTGACAGAGTGAGACCCCAGTTCTAAATAAGTAAGTAATAACATTATGTAAATGTAATGTCAAGATAATAAAAACCAATGTAACCAAACATTAGGATGAATGAGTTATTATTATTATTTTAAGATGGGGTCTTGCTTTGTTGGTTAGGCTGGAGAGCAGTGGTACCATCTTGGCTCTCTGCAACCTCTGCCTCCTGGGTTCAAGCGATTCTCCTGCCTCAGTCTCCCAAGTAGCTGGGATTACAGGTATGTTGTACCACATCTGGCTAATTTTGTATTTTTAGTAGAGACAGGGTCTCTCCATGTTGGTCAGGCTGGTCTCGAACTCTCAACCTCAGGTGATCTGCCCGCCTTGGCCTCCCAAAGTGCTGGGATTACAGGCATGAGCCACCGCGCCTGGCCCCCAACTAACATTTTCTTAAAAATAATTTTTTTTTTCAGAGGTGGGGTCTTGCTTTATTGTCCAGGCTGGTCTCAAACTCCTGGCCACAAGCAATCCTCCCACCTAGGCTTCCAAAAGCACTGGGATTATAGGTGTGAGCCACTGCACTGGGCCCCATGAATCTTTTAAATAATATTATAAAATAAAAAGGCCAACTAACATAATTAACCCAAAAAAACATTTTGAAACCAAATGTCATTTTTCTTCCTAAAATATAGAAGTAGGAAAAATAAGGAACTCTTTCAACAGCATGCTACCAGTGGCAATCTGGAAGGGATTTTTTTTTTTTTTTATGAAGTCTTGCTCTGTTGCCAGGCTAGAGTGCAGTGGCATGATCCTGGCTCACTGCAACCTCTGCCTCCTGGGTTCAAGCGATTCTCCTGCCTCAGTCTCCCGAACAGCTGGGACTATAGGCGCACACCACCACGCCTAGCTAGTTTTTGCATTTTTAGTAGAGACAGGGTTTCACCATGTTGGCCAGGCTGGTCTCAATCTCTTGACCTTGTGATCTGCCCTCCTCGGCCCCCCAAAGTGCTGAGATTACGGGCGTGAGCTACTGTGCTGGGTCAGAAATATTTTTAAATTTTGTTTTTTTATTATTTTAAATAAAAAAATAGGGTCTTGATATATTGCTCAGGCTGGCCTCAAACTCCTGGGCTCAAGTGATCCTCCCCCTTCAGTCTCCTGGGGGGCTGAGACCACAGGTGTGAACTACCATTCTAGGTTGGGAAGGCAGTTTTAAAATTGAGTTAATGTTACACTTTTAAATTGTATCTTCTTATTTGTTTGTGAGAAAGAGTGGAACAAATTATATCAACGTGTGAAAACATCAATAATGCCAGATTTTGCTAAGGGAGAGCCTGTTTTCTTGTCAGTTACCATTTGAAGTGGGATCCGCCTAAGGTCTTTGTAATTCAAGGTCTTGGGCTCTGCATTGAAGAGCTGCTCTGTACTGCCTCCAGGGGTCAGCATAACGCGAAGGATGAGCAAGCACAGCCACCCATTTCAGAAAGCAAAGGATTTGTAGGGTGGAGGAAGGAATGCAGGTGACTATGTAGGTTTCCATTCAAAGAGAGGACAAGGAGTTGAGGGGAAGGGATTCGAGGCCCAGTCCACACAGCGTTTTGGTTTGTATTCAATAGAAACTCAGGGATCCAAATAATCTAATAATATTTGGCCTATCACATAAACTCCCTTGAAATTAGTGACAGGATTTTCTTTTCTTTTTTTAAATTTTAACTTAAAGACCAATGTGATAGTAAACACACATCAGGATTTTCATGATTCCCCTCATACATGCTGAAGGCCACTTACTTTTTGCATGTCTGTTTTGACACTTTGGACTTAGACCACAGAAATATTAAACACCACAAATTGGTTCTCCCAAAGGTCATGGTTTTCTTCTTTTTTTTTTCTAATTTCTATTTTTTATTATTAAAAATAAATTTTTAACTTTTTTTGTAGAGACGGAGTCCACATCACGTTGCCCAGACTGGTCTCAAACTCCTGGGCTCAAGCAATTCTCCTGCCTTGGCCTCCCAAAGTGTTGGGATTATAGGTGTGAGCCACTGTGCCCAGCCATGTAATGGTTTTTCAGTTTGAACTTCCTATATATTTTTTATTTATTTTGAGACAGGGTCTCACTCTGCTGCCCAGGCAGGAATGCAGTGGCACAATTGTGGCTCACTGTAACCACCAACTCTTGGGCTCAAGCCATTCTCCTGCTCCAGTCTCTTGAGTAGCTAGGACTCCAGGCACATGCAACCATGCCCAGCTAACTTTTTTATTTTAAGTTTTTGTAGAGATGGAGACTTGCTATAGCCTAGGCTGGTCTTGAACTGCTGGCCTCAAGTGATCCTCCTGCTTCAGCCTCCCAAAGTGCTGGGACTATAGGTGTGAGCCACTACACCTGGCCCAAACTTCTTATTTTAAGGCTAGAATGATGAGTGGCTGGCCAGCCCTCTCTCTAAGGTAGTAAATGGTGGGCTTTATTCTTTAGACCTATAAACTATTTTATTTTTTTATTTTTCAGACAAGAGTGTCACTCTGTCACCTAGGTTGGAGTGCAGTGGAGCAGTATTGGCTCACTGCAACCTCTGCCTCCCAGGTTCAAGTGATTCTTCTGCCTCAGCCTCCTGAATAGCTGAGATTACGGGTACCCACCACCACAGCTGGCTAATTTTTGTATTTTTAGTAGAGATGGGGTTTCACCATGCTGTTCAGGCTTTGCTCAAACTCCTGACCTCAGGTGATCTGCCTGCCTTGGCCTCCCAAAGTGCTGGAATTACAGGCATGAGCCACTGTGCCCAGCCACCTATAAACCATTTTATACTACCTCTGCTGAAGTGTGGTGAGTATAGATTTCTGGGGAAACTCATTAAAGAAACTCACTGCCAGTAACCTGCCTCCCAGTCACTGCATGGTGTCAATCTCAGACATTTGAAGAGCTAAAATATAAGCAGGGGTAATTAATAGCACACTTCACTTTTATATCCTGGTATATTTCCTGTGCCTCTGAAAAATACTGCTGGGAACTACAGCTGATAAACAATTGTCTGCCTTGGTTGATTACTATGCAGTGAAAATTTAACAGTGTTGGCAATCTATGTTACAGGAAAAGCAGCATTGTCTTTTTTTTCTTCCTTTAAGAGGAAAAGAAGAAACAGCACTTGGGCGGTTCAGTAACAGTCTTTGGGCATAAGAAAAGAAATCATTTCTTATTCCTTACAAACTCTGATTTACAAAAGAACACTGGAAGCTAAGAGCCGTGTTGATTTATCATGTGAAGCAGAGAGTAATTTTTCTCCCCTTGTTAAGCTTTCATATAATCATGCTCACTGCCTGCATGGGTGGCATTAAAGAATTTCTGAATAAAAATAATAATTTCTTGCTTTCAACCTTCATAATTCACATCAGCAAGTACCCTGCTGGGTGGCGATGCCTACTGCCAGTGACGCTCAATCTTTTTTTGCACACCACTTATCTGCTTCATGCAGCTGCATGCTCCATTGATCGAAATACCTGCAGGATAATGCGCCCGTAGGCGTTCTTCAGCAGATTAACCACATCCGCGTGAGACAGCCCATCCAAAGGTTGCCCGTTAATGCTGACAATCCGATCTCCAACCTGGAAGTACAAAAGTGACAGAAAATCACTATCATTATGAAAAATTAAATTTGAGAAGAATGCTTAAAATTCTTTGCAAGTCATATTTCCCATTTGTGGCTATTGTGAGGATTCTGCGTTACGACCATTTATGCGTGTTTAATAAGCATGAGGAATTTTTTTGGCTTTCCCCAAATACAGACAAATCAGAGCTACAAGAAGGGGGTCAGATCTGATTATTAAAAGGCACAGTAGGCCACTTTTGTGTTTTGGTAATGGTGGTGCTTTGTACATCCGTTTGCCAGTAATAGCGGGGCGTACACATTAACTGTTCAATAAAGTTCTAATAAGGAAGCCAAATATTTTCTGTTTTATTTTTCTACTGAAGTAAAGACTAAGGGACAATAAGGGGAAAAAAATCATAAAAATAGTGACTTTTTTTTTTTTTTTTGATGAGGGAAGACTCTAAGATCAAATGTCTCTCAGTTCAGAGCTGATTTTGGGTGGAATGAGGTGCTTAAAAGGGTAAAAAATGGTTTGCAAAGGAGCTACAATTTCTTCTTTTATTGAGAAGCTTTGATACAAATAATAATATTTGCATGTGTCCAGGGACCTAATGAATTTTTTTCTTTTTTTTTGAGATGGAGCCAGGCCTGGCACGGTGGCTCATGCCTGTAATCCCAGCACTTTGGGAGGCTGAGGAGGGCGGATCACGAGGTCAAGAGATTGAGACCAACCTGGTCAACACGGTGAAACCCCATCTCTACTAAAAAAGTACAAAAATTAGCTGGGCATGGTGGTGCACACCTGTAGTCCCAGCTACTTGGGAGGCTAAGGCAGGAATTGCTTGAACCTGGGAGGTGGAGGTTGCAGTGAGCTGGGCTTGCACCACTGCACTCCAGCCTGGCACCTGGCGACAAAGCAAGACTGTGTCTCAAAAAAAAAAAAAGGCATTAAACACGTACAGTATGTTGGAAAAAAAAAAAAAAGAGACGGAGTCTTGCTCTGTTGCCAGGCTAGAGTACAGTGGCATGATCTCAGCTCACTGCAACCTCCAACTCCCTAATTCAAGCTATTCCCCTGCCTCAGCCTCCTGAGTAGCTGGGACTACAGGCACGCACCACCACACCCGGCTAATTTTTTGTATTTAGTAGAGACGAGGTTTCACCATGGCCAGGATGGTCTCAATCTCCTGACCTCATGATCTGCCTGCCTTGGCCTCCCAAAGTGCTGGGATTACAGGTATGAGCCACCACGCCCAGCCCTAATGAATTTATAAAGGTATAGTGTCTCTAATGCATCATGCCTTCAGCGTGGGTCTCTGATGGCTATTGGAATTCCAACTTTAAACAAGGTGCCCAGGCTTACAGCTTCCTCTCCCACCCCACCACGTGCTATTAGCCCTTCAATCAGTTCTCTCTTGCTTACTTTAAGCTTCTGTGTCCGTGCAGCCACTCCGCTGGCCTGAATCATGGCAATAAATATAGGGATATCTCCTAACGGACTTCCTCTTCCTCCAGCAATACTGATTCCAAGGGCATCACTGAGCTCCTAAAAAAGAAAGAAAACATAATGCTTATATATTCAACAAAGAGCCACAAACTGACTCTCCCCAGATAGCTGTTGAACAAAATCCCTCCATGACATAGGAGGCCAGTGTAACACAGGAGTTAAGTGTGGAGCCTTTTGAGTAGAAAGACCTGTTTCAGCTCTAGCTCTTTTTTTTTCTGAAACGGAGTTTCGCTCTTATTGTCCAGGCTGGAGTGCAATGGTGTGATCTTGGGTCACTGCAATCTCTGCCTCCCAGGTTCAAGTGATTCTTTTGCCTCAAATTCCTCAGTAGCTGGGATCACAGGCACATGCCAGCACACCTGGGTAATTTTTTTGTGTTTTTAGTAGAGACAGGGTTTCACATGTTGGCCAGGCTGGTCCTGAACTCCTGACCTCAGGTGATCCAACTGCCTCAGTCTCTGTGCTGGGATTATAGGCATAAACCACTCTGTTTGGCCTTAGCTCTAGCTCTTAATTAGCTGTGGGGCCTTGGGGGAAGTTTCTTAACCTTATGAAAGTTGTCAGAATCTAAATGGAGTCACTTGTGTTAAAAAACAAACAGGCCAGGCAAGGTGGGTCACACCTGTAATCCCAGCACTTTGGAAGGCCAAGGTGAGCAGCTCATGAGGTCAGCAGTTTGGAACCAGCCTGACCAACATGGTAAAACCCCATCTCTACTAAAAATACAAAAATTAGCTGGGCGTGGTGGCAGATGCCTGTAATCCCAGCTACTCAGGAGGCTGAGGCAGGAGAGTTACTTGAACCTGGGAGGCGGCGGTTGCAGTGAGCTGAGATCTCATCACTGCACTCCAGCCTGGGGGACAGAATGACTCCGTCTCAAACAAACAAACAAAGCAACCTAAAACCCTTACAAATAGAGCCAGGGAAGGCTATGAAGAAAGCGTTCTCAGGCTTGCATGCCTGAGAACAAAAATTATCACAAAAGACTGCAAAAACTTTGCAGGAGGGACATTACAACCTTAACATAAAAAAAAAAAACCCACTTCTACAAGAGCATCTTGTCCAGCAAATGTCTGTCCAGCCTTGGGCTGTGTGGCACCCCTGTAATGAATCTTTGTAGCCAAGGATAATTATCTCAAAACAATGACATATTCTTCATTTTGTCCTAAAACTTATTTTCCTTACCTCCCTGAATATGCATGTAGTCTACTAGGGCCTGTGTATTCCCATTGCAATGCCCTATTTCTGAATAAGCAGCATTTTCTTTCAGAGAGCCTCTCTGTTTGTTATTTACATTGACTGCCTCTTTAAGCCTCCATCTCTATGTATAAAATGAGAAGAACACTACATACCTGACATTGTTGGTCTGGGTGTTAAATGAAATGTTATGGCACAGTCATGGTCTAGAGAAGAGGCTCAATAAAAGGTAATAGCAGGAGTAAATTAAAACACACACACGCACACACCCCACCCTATGTGCTGCTTAGTTTAGTGGCCAATTCTGATGCAGACTTGGCAAGTATGTTCTCATATGGTGTTTACGATTAAACTGCCACACATACTATGCTCTTCTGGGTGTGAACAAACACATTTGGCTTTAAAAGACTGCATAACAAAGGATCTGAGAGGACACCCACTGTAGTGACAACAGTTTGAAGAGACACATAAAATGTGGCTGAAAATGTTCCCCAAGACAGACTCCGGTGAAGAGACCTGGCTCTAGTCCAGTTTTTCCCCACATTAGTATCATAGGGTTAATATTATTTAAATCACTAAAAGAACAAATGACAAGTTCCAGTTCCAGCATGGCAGCACAGGCATGTGACAGCATATCTCTCCTGCTGGTTACCATCAAGATGTCTCGTCAAAATATAAAAAACAACTACCTGTGGCCTCTTAAACAGAAAGAAACAAATAAAGCATGGTGGAGAGTCAAAACTTGGAGAAACAACAGCAGGGGGGACATTCCCAGTTTTATTATTTTTTTTCCTGGCAGCTTTACCCTGAGGGCGATTCCCAGTCAAGGAGCTGGAAAGGTAGGGAATGCTAACATTCAGATAGAAATTCCATCCTTCTGGGCAGAAGAATCAGGAAAAAGAGGGGAAGAGAAGAAAAGCAGAATAGAGGAAGCTGAAGAAAACGAATCCTCAATTCTGTTTATGAACCCACAGAACTCTCAGGCTACATATGTGTGGCAGACCCGAACTAGCACAGCAGAAGTTTAGAGGCCAGGCGTGGTGGCTCACTCCTGTCATTCCAGCACTTTGGGAGGCTGAGTCAGGTGGATTACTCGAGGTCAGGAGTTCGAGACCAGCCCGGCCAGCATGGCGAAATGCTGTCTCTACTGAAAATACAAAAAATTAGCTGGGCATGGTGGCACGCACCTGTAATCCCAGTTACTCAGGAGGCTGAGGCAGGAGAACGGCTTGAACCTGGGAAGCGGAGGTTGCAGTGAGCTGAGATCACTGCATTCCAACCTGGTCAACAGAATGAGACTCCATCTCAAACAAAAATTTCTGCCTGGATCACGTGTAGGAGAATAGGGGAGGTATGAGCAGGCCTTATTACAAAAGCCTGTAAAAACAAGTGGCTGAAATGACTAAGGAAATATAAAATAATATTATTTTTGAAATCTTAAAGGAGAAATTTAAGCAATAATTTTCTGGCTCTGTTTAAATCCATCATGACGTTTCCTTAGTTTATCCATAATTGTGTATACTGTGGTACATTTCACTTCCCCATCATAGGAACATTTCAGTTGCTACTCTGATAGAAAAATACTGGGAACAAATAAGGCAGACTCAGTGAAAGCTGTAGCTCATAATAACAGAGGCCACTTCCTGGGCATTCATGATGCACTAGGTACTATGCTAAAGACATTACATTCATTACCTCATTTAATCCACACAACAATATTTACCTTTGTGGTATGTTAGCGTTATCACCCCCGTTCTACAGATGAGAAAATTGAGGTTGACTTGCTATTATAGAGCTAATGGCTCTTTTTCGTTGTTGTTCCTTTCTCGTCTTTTTTTTTTTTTTTTTGAGATAAGGTCTTACTCTGTTGCCCAGGCTGGAATACAGTGGTGTGATCATGGCTCACTGCAGCCTCAATCTCCTGAGCTCAAATAATCCTCCCACCTCAGCCTCCCAAATAGCTGGGAGCTGGACCACCAACATGCACCACCACGCCCGGCTAATTTTTTTTTTGAGACAGAATTTTGGTCTTGCTGCCCAGGCTGGAGTGCAACAGCACGATCTCAGCTCACTGAAACCTCTGCCTCCTGGGTTCAAGCGATTCTCCTGCCTCAGCCTCACAAGTGGCTTGGATTACAGGTGCCCACCACCATGCCCAGCTAATTTTTTCCATTTTTAGTAGAGATAGGGTTTTACCATGTTGGCCAGGCTGGTCTTGAACTCCTGGTCTCAGGTGATCCACCCGCCTTGGCCTCCTAAAGTGCTGGGATTACAGGCATGAGCCACTGCACCTGGCTGTGGCTAATTAAAAAAAGATTGCCAGGTGCGGTGGCTAACGCCTGTAATCCCAGCACTTTGGGAGGCCAAGGCAGCTGGATCATGAGGTCAGGAGATCTAGACCATCCTGGCTAACATGGTGAAACCCCGTCTCTACTAAAAATACAAAAAAAAATTAGCTGGGCGTGGTGGCAGGCGCTTGTAATTCCAGCTACTTGGGAGGCTGAGGCAGAGAATTACTTGAACCCAGGAGGTAGAGGTTGTAGTGAGCCAAGATCGTGCCATTGCACTCCAGCCTGGGCAACAGAGCGAGACTTTCTCAAAAAAAAAAAAAAAAATTGTAGAGACAGAGTTTCTCCATGTTGCACAGGCCGGCCTCAAACTCCTGGGTTCAGTGATCCTCCCACCTCAGGTTCCCACAGTGCTGGTATATTACAGGTATGAGCCACCACACCCAGCCATACAGCTAATCTACAGGCTGAATTGTGTCCCCCTAAAATTCACATGTTGAAGCTCCAAGTACCAGGGCCCCAGAATATGATGGTATTTGAAGTAGGGCCTTTACAATAAAGCCAGGGTGTGCCCTAGTCCAACGTGACTGGTGTCCTTATAAGAAAAGATTAGGTCATAGGGGAGACACCAGGGATAATGAGTGACACACACGAAAAAGGCCATGTCAGGCAACAGCAAAAAAGCAGACATCTGCAAGCCAAGGAGAGAAGCTTCAGGAAAAACCAAACCTGCAGCACCTTTATCTTGGATCTAGCCTTCAGAACTGTGAGAAAATAAATTTCCTTTTTTTTTTGAGACAGAGTCTCACTTGGTCGCCAGGCTGGAGCGCAGTGGCACGATCTCAGCTAATTGCAACCTCTGCCTCTTGGGTTCAAGCGATTCTCCCGCCTCAGCCTCCAGAGCAGCTGGGGCCACAGGCGCATGCCACCATGCCCAGAAAATCTTTGTATTTTTAGTAGAGATGGGGTTTCACCATGTTGGTCAGGATGGTCTTGATCTTTTACCTCGTGATCCACCTGCCTTAGCCTCCCAAAGTGCTCGGATTACAGGTGTGAGCCACTGTGCCCAGCCAAAATTGCTGTTGTTTAAGACACCCAGTTTATGGTGTTTTGTTATTGCAGACCTAGCAGACTAATGCCTTCAAACAGAGGTATCATTAAATCTAGAGAAGTAAGCTATGCTGGAGATCACTCTACTGCAGTAGATTACCATGATTACCAGAGGGTCAATATTTCTTCTTGAACTCCTAATCAAAGTGAGCAAAATAAAAGTTAACTTTCAGCTGGGCCCAGTGGCTCACACCTGTAATCCCAGCACTTCGAGAGGCTGAGGTGGGCGGATCACTCAAGGGCAGGAGTTCGAGACTAGCCAGGCCAACATGGTGAAACTGTGTCTCAATGAAAAATACAAAACTTAGCTGGGTGTGGAGGTGTGTGCCTGTAGTCTCAGCTACTCAGGAAGCTGAGGCATGAGAATCACTTGAACCCGGGAGGTGGAGGTTGCAGTGAGCTGAGATCGTGCCACTGTATCCCAGCCTGGGCAATACAGTGAGACTCCATCTCAAAAAGAAAAAAATAAAAGAGTCTACTTTCATTGAATATCATCATACAGGAGTCTGAAAATCAGGGTTTGACAAATTTATGAACTAAAATACATCTTATACAATCTTCTCAAAAGGGCAATTTAGCAACATATATAAAAGCCTCTAATAACAAGCTTGCCTTTTGAACCAAAAATTTCATTTCTTTTTTTTTTTTTAGATGGAGTTTCGCTGTTGTTACCCAGGCTGGAGTGCAATGGCACGATCTCGGCTCACCGCAGTCTCCGCCTTCTGGGTTCAAGCAATTCTCCTGCCTCAGCCTCCCGAGTAGCTGGGATTACAGGCACACACCACCATGCCCAGCTAATTTTTGTATTTTTAGTAGAGACGGGGTTTCACCTTGTTGACCAGGATGGTCTCAATCTCTTGACCTCGTGATCCACCCGCCTCGGCCTCCCAAAGTGCTGGGATTATAGGCGTGAACCACCGTGCCCGGCCCAAAAATTTCATTACTAAGAATTAATCCTGAGGAAATTACCCATGATATGGGCAAAAATATAATGATTTTTACCATAAGCGATAGCAAAAATTGAGAAATGTGATAATTGTTCAATAATAGAAAACTGGTTAAGAAACTGACATCACATTCATATGATGGAGTAAGTACTATATAGTCTATAAAAATCATGCTATATCCTGTCAAAAATACTTATTTAATATGTTTCACATGATACCATTTTTGTTTTATAAAACTTCACATGTGCAGGATAAAAGACTAAGATTGAAAAAAAGATAAATAAAAATAAAACTATAGTGGATGAGATTTGCGAAAAAATTCATAGAGGTCATCTCTATTCTACTGTACTTTTCTAAGCCTATTTCTTAATGTTATATAGACCATACATATATATTTTTTTGTTTGTTTGTTTTTTTGTTTTTGAGACAGAGTTTTGCTCTTGTTGCCTAAGCTGGAGTGCAATGGCACAATCTCGGTTCACTGCAACCTCCACTAACTGGGTTCAAACAATTCTGCCTCAGCCTCCTGAGTAGCTGGGATTATAGGCATGCACCACCAGGCCTGGCTAAGTTTTTGTATTTTTAGTAGAAGCAGGGTTTCACCATGTTAAGCAGGCTGGTCTCAAATCCTGGCCTCAGGTATCCACCCTCCTCGGCCTCCCATAGGGCTGGGATTACAGGCATGAGCCACCATACCTGGCTATAGACCATATTTTTACCTCAATAACTTGAAGGAGCACACTTACAGTCCAATAACTTTTATTGGGGAAAATGTACATGTAATGCAAATTCAACACAAACCAGAAAAATATATATAGCAAAATAACTGACTTACTCTGTTTATCTCGACAGTCCTGGGTTCCATATCTGTGCCTATAAATAAAGAAGCAACACAATAAATTTTTTAATATTAAAAAATAATATATTTAGGATATAATATTGCCCCATGAGAAATGATTTCATTTTCTAGGTCTTTCAACAGCAGACACTAAAAAAAGCAGGTATTATACCCTTCCTCAGCATCCAAGCTGGTACCCAAGTCACCAGGGGCCATGTTCTCTTCTTTTTTTTTTGAGATGGAGTCTCGCTTTGTCACTTAGGCTGGAGTGCAGTGGCACTATCTCAGCTCACTGCAACCTCTGCCTCCTAGATTCAAGCCATTCTTCTGCCTCTGCCTCCAAATAGCTGGGATTACAGACACCTGCCTGCCACCACACCTGGCTAATTTTTGTATTTTTAGTAGGGACAGGGTTTCACCATGTTGGCCAGGCGAGCCTTAAACTCTTGACCTCAAGTGATCCACCAAAGTGCTGGGATTACAGCTGTGAGCCACTGCACCCAGCTCGCTCTGTTCTCTATTGTAAAGCAGTGCTCTCTGTTTGAGATTGATGGGTTTCAGTAATCATTTGGTCTGACAAAAGTTGATGGACTTTATAGCAGCAGCTGCCTGGAATATGATGAGTAAATGCTTCAAGGATGAGTCATTTGTGGGTTTTTTTTTTTCTTTTTTTTTTTCTGAGATGGAGTCTTGCTCTGTAGTCCAGGCTGGAGTGCAGTGGCATAATCTCGGTTTACTGCAATCTCTGCCTCTTGGGTTCAAGCGATTCTCCTGCCTCAGCCTCCTGAGTAGCTGGGATTACAGGCATGGGCCACCACACCCAGCTAATTTTTGTATTTTTAGTAGAGGAGAGGTTTCACCACATTGGCCAGGCTGGCTCGAACTTCTGACCTCAGGTGATCTGCCTACCTCAGATCCCCAAAGTGCTAGGATTACGAAGGTTTCATTGTACATTTTTTTTTTAACCTTAACCAAAGATAACCTCCATTCAACAAAAGACTTAAAAGGACCTCTTGTCCCACCCTTTCCCTGAGGGTATACACATTTTTTTTTCTTTTAACTGGCCCAATTTTCCCATAGAAGGTATACACACTCTAACCTTCCTCTAGTGGCAAATGATTTATTAATTTTCTCATTATAAATAATTTTACTTTATGATGCATTCCAGCTTTCTGCTTTTCTGTTTTTTAGGTGCTTTGTTTTGTACCACTGAAGGAATTTCTTTTCTTTTTTTTTTATTTAGACAGAGTCTTGCTCTGTCACCCAGGCTGTAGTGTAGTGGCATGATCTCGGCTCACTGCAACCTCTCCCCGACCCCAGATTCATGCAATTGTCCTGCCTCAGCCTCCTGAGTAGCTGGGACTACAGTTGTGTGCCACCATGCCCGGCTAATTGTTTTGTATTTTTTAGTAGAGATGGGGTTTCGCCATGCTGGCCAGGCTGGTGTCGAACTCCTGACCTCAGGTGACCCACTTGCCTTGGCTTCCCAAAGTGCTGGGATTGCAGGCGTGAGCTACCATGCCTGGTCACCACTGAAGGAATCTCTATGGCTTTCGTACCTTCAGAACAGGCCTTTCAGAAAGCTCAGCTTAAGTGGCCTAGCTCAAAAATTTAAAAATCATTTAAATTAAAGAAGGCTGTTTCTTAAAAAACATATTTAAAAAAAAAAAATTGGGGTAACAGGACAGTTTTGCTCTGGGTGTGTCCGTGTAATACCTGCATTTTTCTGGGAAGGATCTGAAACTCTTTTCGTGCCAACCAGGTTTTGCAGGCCAGCGATGACAGGAGCGAAGGAGGGACGACAGCTGCTGTGTGAGCTCTGCTGACTGCCCTGAAAGAAAGACCCAGGGATCACCTGTGTGCAGACACTGCCTCGGCCCTAAAAATGCATACTTATCCACTGGCGTGCCAATGTCACCATAATCATCTAACAGAAAATTGTGAAGAGGCCAAGAAAGAAAACAAAAATCACCCACACTTACTCTCTTACTACCTCAACCCAATCCCATTTAGCCCTTTCCTCCACTGCTTTCACCACTATGTGTGCTTTTGAACAGGGTTTCAATCACCAAGGTGGAGAACATACAATCTTTTGAGCTGTTCTTGCTCCACATAAAATCAAAGCCATTTTCCTAGGTTGCCACATAGTGTGTGTATGTATATATGTATAGTCAGCTAATGGGGACATTTCATTTAGGGTTACGGTCAATTTTGCTAAAACAAGTATAGTAAGACCTTCCTTCATGAGCAGAAACCTGACAAAACAGAACCCTCAATTGTGGGGAAAAAAGCACCAAATCTCAAGGGAAAAAGGTCTGTTTTAGGGATATATAACATTTTTTTCTCAAAGATTTTCCTAGAATCAGTAATAATTTAGTCCAATCTGTTAGACTCCATTACCTGTCCCTTTATTCATTGAAATGAATATTTGAGGTTAATACTGTGTAGCCATTTAAGTCTAGTGCCTATTCAACAAAAATTGTATACATAACGAAGGGCCTTCCTGATGTAGACCACAATATTGCAAATAATGAATAATTTTTTCTACCAAATTATTCTTCATCAAAATTTTAAGCTAAGACTAGGATCACTGTTATCAGTTCATAAATTATAATTTGGTCCATTTTTCTTAACTCTATGATAAAAGTTGTTTAATATTTTAATTCCTAAAATATGAAAAATTTCAAATACATAGAAAAGCTGAAAGAATTATACAATAGACATCATATACGTAGCACCTAGATTTCACAATTAGTATTTTGCTATATTTTCTATATTTTCTTTATCGCTGTCATTTATCCATTCGTTACTCATCTTTTTTTTTTTTTTTTGAGTTGGGGTTTCACCACGTTGGTCAGGCTGGTCTTGAACTCCCGACCTCAGGTGATCTACCCGCCTTGGCCTCCAAAGTGCTTGGATTACAGGCGTGAGCCACCACACCCAGCCTCTTTTTTTTTTAAATTTATTTCAAAGTAAGCTGCAGATCTGAGTATACTTCACAGTGGCTATATACATTTAAAGGAGTGTGTGTATATTTTTCCTTAAAGGATATGATTTAAATAAATGGTACTGTAATAGATAACTACTCAGAACTGAGGCAGTGCAGCATATTATAATTTTGCCTTAAAAAATTTTCAGAATAGCTGAGCATGGTGGCTCATGACTGTAATCCCAGCACTTTGGGAGGCCGAGAAGGGTGGATCATCCGAGGTCAGGAGTTTGAGATCAGCCTGGCCAATATGGTGAAACTCCATGTCTACTAAAAATACAAAAATAGTCTTGGCGTGGTGGCGCATGCCTGTAGTCCCAGCTACTCAGAAAGCTGAGGCAGGAGAATTGCTTGAACCTGGGAGGTGGAGGTTGCAGTGAGCGAAGATCGTGCCATTGCACTCCAGCCTGGGTGATAGAGCAAGACTCCATCTCAAAAAAAATAAAATTTTTTTTCAGAATTATGTGTTTGCCAAGACCTCTATTGTATTTTCTGAGAAGCAGTCTCCCTCTGTTGCCCAGGCTATTCTAGTGCAGTGGTGCAATTTCAGCTCACTGCAACCTCCGCCTCCCAGGTTCAAGTGATTCTCCTACTTTAGCCTCCCAAGCAGCTGGGTTTACAGGTTCCTGGCACCATGCCTGGATAATTTTTGTATTTTTAGTAGAGACAGGGTTTCACCAGGCTCTTTGGCCAGGCTGGTCTTGAATTCCTGCCCTCAAGTAATCTGCCCACTTTGACCTTCCAAAGTGCTGGGATTACAGGCGTGTGCCACCTAGCCCAGCTCCAAGATCTTTATAAACATACACTTTGCCTGGCCATGTTCCCTTAGTTGCCTGAGGAAAAGATCTTGCACGTGTTTTTTCCTCTGAGGAGTAAGGAAATTTCTTCCCGGTTGGTGGGAAAAGTCATTTTTTTAAAAGAAGGACGTTTGGTGGCCCCAAAGCTAGAAGTTATCTCTCTCTTAGTGAACTCACTTTCTATGAATTAAATCAACAGCCTCTTGTACTTAGCCCTCAAAAGAAGGCATTGATCTCCCTATTTTGTAACTGCTCAGAAAGAATTCTGTGCTCCTACAAGATCCTGATTTTTCCAATGGGTCTGGATGCAAAAATGCTTGGCAATGGAATTTTGTTTTTGCCCACCAGGGTCACAGTCCTCAACACTCGATGATGAGAAGACATTTCCTTTTTTTTTTTTTTTTTTAAAGATGGGGTTTCACCATAATGGCCAGGCTGGTCTTGAACTCCTGACCTCAGGTAATCCACCTACCTTGGCCTCCCAAAGTGCTAGGATTACAGGCGTGAGCCACCACGCCCGGCCGACATTTCCTTTTTTTAAAATCTTTTCTTTTTTTAATTTTTATTTTTTTAAGGGACCTTCAAAGCCATGCAAATCAAAGGAAGACATTTCCTTTTCACAGAAGGCTACCAGCCTTCTTCTAATTAGCCAAATAGGGCAAACTCTTATATGTCACCCATAATTCTAAGCACAGGTGATGATACATTTACTGTTTTTAAAAATTGAATTAAACTTCTGCCCTCTGAAATTAAAGTTCTAAGCAAGAAGATTAGGGCAAAGTGTTTGATACTTTGTCCCAGGTTTCCGAAATATGACAGCTCACATTCATATACCAGGTAAGTGGTGATTATATATATATATATATTTATATATATATATGACATTTAATGATATAGCTTTTAAATTTGGAAGTTCTCTCTTTAACTGGAGTGTGAACTTAAAAATTATCAAGATGCAGCCAGGCGCAGTACCTCATGCCTGTAATCCCAGCACTTTGGGAGACCAAGGAGGGTGGATCACCTGAGATCAGGAGTTCGAGACCAGTCTGACCAACATGGTGAAACCCCGTCTCTACTAAGAATACAAAAATTAGCCGGATGTGGTGGTGGGCGCCTTCCCAGTTACTTGAGAAGCTGAAACAGGAGACTCACTTGAACCCAGGAAGCAGAGGTTGCAGTGAGCAGAGATCATGCCATTGCACTCTAGCCTGGGCAACAGGAGTAAGACTCTGCCTCGAAAAAAAAAAATTTTGAAGATGCTCGCATACATTGTTCAAGAATGACAGAAATCCAGGTCTACCCACTACCTTACCTATCGATCAGTCCAAACTTTTCTTATATCACACAAACTCCTGTTACCTCTTTGTGCCTTTATGTATGCTAGTTTCCTTGAGATGCCTTTTCCTTCTTTTCTCCAGACTCCATTTGGAGTGAGATTCAATGGAAATTCCTCTGAATAGCTTCTTTCTAACCTTCTGTATACAACAGAAAGGCTTTAAAGAAATAATTCAACAAAGATGAGTCTTCCATTAAGGAAGAAGCCTGGCTACACAACTGTTTTGTTCGTTGATATAAGTCTGGTCAGTATCATCACTAACTATTCACTCATGGAATCCTACCGCAGCACTGTGGCTTAGATATTTGCTGCCCATTATGTAAGCCAGAAATGGAAAAAAAAGAAAAGGTTTCAAACTCAATATGGTGTTTATTGCGTTTGACTGCTTTGAAGATTCCCTAAAACAAGCCAGCTAGTCTGTAATCCTATCTGAACGATGGTATCTTCCTCACTCATTTTCTAACACCAGTGAGGAACAGAAGGCAGCTAATAGCTTTCCAGAAGTGCCTGTGTGCTAACTGTATGATCAGAGCACCGTCTGAACAAAGGCCTTGGAGAGGCTTCAAAAGTAAGGCAACCAGGGAGGGGACCAAAAGTCATGCTTTTAACCTCATAACTAAGGCAGCCTATCCATAACACAGAGAGGAGACTAAGGGGTCACATATAAGTTTTTATAGTCTCATTATGTGCCACATGGGACTAACCACATACTCTACCATCTTGATTTTGTCAAAAAAATATGGTGAAATATACTTTGCTAAAAAAAAAAATGGCACTTACATCAGCCTTGCAAATAAATATAAGATGTTTGCTAACCCACAAAATATCACCCACTGAGGCTTCCCTCCCACAGCAAAAACCCCCACACTTGGTTCTCCCAGGAATATGTCATTAATTGCCCTCAGCATGTGTGAGTGGCTAGTCACAAGTTAACTTTATAGCAATATTTAATTGAATGAATAGAACAATGTTGTGCTAATGAGGGTCAAATTGCCACCAGATGTTGCCCCCCTTTTTTTTTAAATAAACACAGCTGTGTACATGTGGGCATGGGCAATATAGAACTAATAGTGAGAGAGAAAAATGGTTCTAAGAAAACATTTGCAAGCAATAAGGGAGAGAAAAATCTAGGGATTAATGTTTCTGTCCCACCTTTCATTTTTATTTCAAACACATGAAAATTCACTAAACTTGGTGCTGTGAATATGCTATACATTAGACATTGTTTCCTAACAATCATTTATTAAATGGGGAACTTTCTCCCAATGAGGGCAGAAGAGTGAGTCAGTCTGATGAGAAGCCATCGACAACCTGACTGTTCTGTGATGTCTTCCTTGCAGAGGTCCAGGAACCAGCTCGGAGTCTTCCAATCTCTAGCTGCACAAGCCCCTGTGCACACTTGGAAAGGCAAGAAAAGAACAGAAATGTAAAGCAGTAGCATTTATGTTCTGAAATATCATAACAGAACCTCTCCCTACAGCCACATATTATAAAAGGGTAATAAAAGGAACAGGCATAGCACTAGAGAGAGGATGAATTCTGTGCGTTTAGAGAACAACCATAAATACTCAGAATTTTCACAAGTATGAAAAACCTCCTTGTGAAATCCCAAAGCACGTTCCCTTTAATTCTGTTAGTTAATATAACAGAACTTTCTTTTAAAGCTATTCCTGCTCATTTAAAATAATCAGAGATTAAATTTCTAGTAAAACCTAGAGTTACCATAATCCAACCCATTTTATAATCAAGCTAGACTGGAGCAGTTCCCACTGGACGTCAGTTCTGCCAGCTGGGTAAAAAGCATCCTAGCAACTCACCTTTAGGATGGTGGCCACTGTCTCCTGTGAGGCATTTCTCATGTCCTCTCCATTCACAGATAAGATCTGATCTCCCTGAATCAATCTCCCATCCAAGTCTGCAGCTCCGCCTTTCACGATGTCAGAAATAAACACTCCGCTTCCATTTCTGTTAATACCATACAGCAGTGCAGTATTGGCACAACCTAATATTTCCATGCATAATACATATGTGTGTTTGTGACAGGATACACACACATATACTCCTTTTTTCCTCCAGTTCTGTTTTCTTTTTTTTTTCCCCATACCTTGGCAATTTGTCTTTATTGGCACTTGGAGCGTCCTCATCTTTTAAATGGCTACATACTATTCTATGATGTTTCATAATTTCACTTACTGGTAGCTTACTGATGAACATACAGGTGATTTCCATTCTTTATTGCAAACAATAAGCAATGCATACCTGTAAGTATATCTTAAAGACAAAGTCCTGGTGATGGAATTGTTAGTCAAAGAAAATTGTGACTTTGGAGAACTAAATATCAAATCCTTTAGATTGAGTTTGCACTCAAAACTGCAAGTGTTTGTGCTAAGGAATGTAAATGTGCCTTATAAACTCAACCTGAAATATTGACGTTCACTAAAAGCAAAAACCATTACTCTAAATGAAATTGCCCCAGGCACTCGTATGTGTCAAAACAAGAAAGCAAACTTCAACACTGGCTCTGTCAGTTGCTCTGCACTCAGATGTGAGCTGGTTTTTGTTTAGAAATGTAAGAGACTCAGCTTTTTTTGCTGGTAATACATTTTCAGAGTGATGGTTTTATGGTGCTGAAGTAAAAAATGAGATTATGACAGAACAATACTTGGCCCAAAATCTGTACTCAAAAATTGTAGCTAATATTTTTATTTTAATAACAGCTTGGCCTGAGGACAAAAGCATTAGGCTAGTCACCAGAGGTCTGTGAGGGCATATAACATAACATGTATAAAACCAACTTGATCTCTTCCTTAACAAGATTGTTGATACACTTTAAGGCCATATTAGGATATTACCTGGAAATATCTGGTATGTATTAATCCCAACAGCCCTGTTGGGATTAATACATACTAGATACCTAAAAGCCAGTAAACCATGGAAGCTAGACTTCGCTTCACGCTATTACTTACCTTTCCAATTCACTGCAAGAGAAACTTAGTAATATTATCCTGGAACAAACTACTGTTAAGCAGTATAGACTTCATTTTTCTTTATTTTTAAATTTTTTTTTTAGAGACAAGTATTACTATGTTGCCAGATTGATCTTATACTCCTCCCCTCAAGTGATCCTCCCACCTCAGGCTCCTAAAATGTTGGGAATACAGACGTGAGCCACTATGCCTGGCCTACGCAACATATATTTCAAAAGAGCAGCCTGGCCATTAGCATCTACCTACCTATATTTTTGGTGCACAGTATTACTTTGGGGACATCTTTCTTTTTTCCTTTTCTTTTTTTTTTTTTTAAATTTTCAGATGGGGTCTTGTGATGTTTCCTAAGAGGCTCAAGTGCAGTGGCTATTCACAGGTACGATCATAGCACACTATGGCCTTGAACTCCTGGCCTCAAGTGATCTTCCCATATAGCTGGGACAATAGGTACATGGCACTGTGCCCAGCAGGACATTTTTCTTAATAGAAAACTACCATCATGAAGAATTATGTTTGTCTCTTAACTATGTTTACTCAACTAGTTTTAACATAGTGTGAAATTAACATAGTATGACACAAAGCAATATTCCACGTTAATTTCCATACCAAAGCAATGTTCTTGACCCAACATGGGATAAATCTGCTTGACACTAGCTATTTCTTGGGTATGGTTACTTTAACCTCTGCAAAACTCAGATCTTAGTAATTCCAAGTGAAAGAAACTTCTTGCTGTTTGTACTCTATATGAAAGTGTAACAGTCTGGGTTGACTAGGCCTGGAGTTCTATCTTGATATGACAATTTTTTGGGTAAGACCTTGCTCAGAAATATGACCCATGTTGTCAAATATTCATAAATATCTTAGTTTTAGAAATCCCATCGCTAGTTTACAAGCTTTCTCTTTCAGCGTTCACAGGCATCAGTCCCCAGAGCTCTGGATCAAAAAGGCAGATCCTGACTTGCACAGGACGGCTTTACCGTTTCCCAGCGATGCTTAGGCCCAGGCCGCGGCCAGCTTTCTTCTGCAGATCCACAGGGAAAACCTCCAAGTTCTCCTCATCCCGGTAGTGTGCCTCATCTCTATACACCACCAGCCGCACCTTCTGGGGGGTCTGCCTCAGGGCTGTGATGGCTTCTTCGTGGCTGGAGTTCCTCAGGTCAACCCCATTAACCTGGAACAATGGGCATTCTGAGACGGGCTGCTGATGGCAGAGGCCTCTGCCTGCTGTGTCTGCTGAATCTCCTTGATCTATCCAGTCAAGAATCTCTAGAAAGTTCCAGCTACTCTCAAAGCAAACAGGTAGTGACCACGAGCAGTATGAGCTGCTTTGAATATAAAGGAAGTGGCCCTTAAAATATCCTACCCCACAAGTGCACAGAGGGTGGATACACGATAATGCAATTTCACATAGCTATGAACTTTACTTGAAATCAATGAAAGAGCTTTCTTTCCGCCCCGGGTCGCCGCACTGAGAGCCGCCGCCATGTCTGCGCATCTGCAGTGGATGGTCGTGCGGAACTGCTCCAGTTTCCTCATCAAGAGGAACAAGCAGACCTACAGCACCGAGCCCAATAACCTGAAGGCCCGCAACTCCTTCCGCTACAACGGGCTGATTCACCGCAAGACCGTGGGCGTGGAGCCGGCGGCCGACGGCAAAGGCGTGGTGGTGGTCATGAAGCGGAGATCCGGCCAGCGGAAGCCTGCCACCTCCTACGTGCGGACCACCATCAACAAGAATGCTCGCGCCACGCTCAGCAGCATCAGACACATGATACGCAAGAACAAGTACCGGCCCGACCTGCGCATGGCAGCTATCCGCAGGGCCAGCGCCATCCTGCGCAGCCAGAAGCCTGTGATGGTGAAGAGGAAGCGGACCCGCCCCACCAAGAGCTCCTGAGCCCCCTGCTCCCAAAGCAATAAAGAGTCAGCTGGCCTTCTAAAAAAAAAAAAAAAAAAAAGAAAGAAATCAATGAAAGAGAGAGAGAAGAGAGTGTGTGCACACAGGGAATTAACTAGCTCATTAAATTGAGATCAAAGGGAAAGACATGTTAGTGTTTAGTCAGCATTTTTAGATTCAGTTGCTTATTGGATTTGACATCTTCACTCTGATTATTTATTTATTTATTTTTAGATAGGGTCTTACTCTGTTGCCCAGGTTGGAATGCAGTGGCATGAATACTGGGCTTACTGCAGCCTTGACTTCCCAGGCTCAAGCGATCCTTCCACCTCAGTCTCCTGAGTATCTGGGACTGCATGTGTGTGCTATCATATCTAGATAATTTTTAAATTTTTTGTAGAGATGAGGTCTTGCCATATTGCCCAGGCTGTCTTCAAACTCCGGGGCTCAGGTGATCCTCCTGCCTTGGCCTTTCAAAGTGCTGGGATTACAGGCATGAGCCACCATGCCTGGCTGACATCTTCACTCTTATTTGCTCATGTCACAACTGCTTCATAACAAGTGCAGGAGAAGATGAGAGACCAGTATTTCCAACAGCATCCAAGACTCCCTGAAATCTTCCCATTAGAATCTGGTTCTTTCTCTCTCTCTCTCTTTTTTTTCTTTTGAGACAAAGTCTCGCACTGTTGCCTGAGTGGGAGTCCAGTGGCATGATCTCGGCTCACTGCAACCTCTGTCTCCCAGGTTCACGCGATTCTCCCGCCTCAGCCTCCTGAGTAGCTGGGATTACAGGTGCACACCACCATGCCTGGCTAATTTTTTGTATTTTTACTAGAGACGGGGTTTCACTATGTTGGCCAGACTGGTCTCCAACTCCTAACCTTGTGATCTGCCCACCTGAGCTTCCCAAAGTGCTGGGATTATAGATGTGAGCCACTGCACCCAGCCCCTAAGGCTTTTTTAATTCTAACATTCTAAAGACTAAGGACCAGTGGCATAAAGAATGGTTATGGGGAAAAGATAAAGGAAGGATGAACCTTTTTGGAGAAGGTGACTTTTGAACTGTCATTTAAAGCTGATTGTGTGAGCCAAGAAAATGTTTAAAAGCTGCTGTTTCTTTTCTAGTATATATTGGTGGCTTGTGTGTTCACTTAGATGAGCTACATCCAGAATAACAGTGGTAAAGAACATGGGTTTTGGATATGGATGCACTTTGGTTTGAGTGCTGATTTCCACTTACTGGCTATATGAAACTCTGTGTAAATTACTTAAGCCAAACTTTTGCTGTGTCATCTATGACTTAGAGATAGTCATATTTACTTAGTGTTGTGAAGATTAAGCCCTGTAAATCATTCAGCACAGGGCTTGGCACACAGTTATGTTCAATGTAAATTAGAAGTTGGTATTTTACAGGGAATTGAAATAACGCAAGTGAAGCCTGTTTTTCCTCTCAGCATAATCATTCACTGCTACTTTAAGCCAATGAATACATTTTCATTGTCTGTGAATGAAACACAAAGAGGAAAAGTGTATTTCCAGGAAATGTGGCCTGAGCTGATTATTTTCCTGTATTCCAATAGATGGCACACAAGACCTCTTATGTTACTCAATTAAAAAAAAGTTACCTCCATGGATTGAAGGTGAACTTTCTAAGCCTCTAAGTACCTTTTGAAAGGCCCTAACAAATATACTTTTAATTAAAAGTATTGTCATTAAGCTGTAATATTACAAATCAATTTCTGTAAATTCCAGCATGATGGTATCTGCTCAGATGGAAGTGATCTAAGATCACAGTTTCCATTTGCTCCTCTGCAAATCAGGAGATACCACTAAATGTGCCAATAATCATGAGAGAAATATCATGATGTGGCCAGAACATTGTGGAGAGATGTATTATATAAGTGCCTTACAGAAGCAGAGTATGCATTATTTAGAATATTGATTGTAGAAGAGGAGGGTGGAAATAGCAGGGCTTTCGATTTGAGAAGAAAGGCTCCAGGAAGACCCAGGTGTCAAGGGAGCATACCACATCCCTTGGATAGAATGGCCATGTGGGAAAGTGGGTGAACCCAGTGCTTGAGAAGGAAAGAGTAACAAAGCTAGTGCAGCAGCTCCTCAGTATTTTATTGCATAGGGAAACTCGGGTATTAACTCTCTACTCTCTTCTGCTCACACTTGCACCAAAATAGAGGGGATAATGGCACTAAGGGTGCGGATGGGGGAAGAGAGAGGGTACCAGAAGGAACTGGCCTAAAAGGAGAACCAGAAAGAAGACATAGTTCATGTTCCTCATATTAAAAGAATCATAAATCTTGCCATGCCAAAACATTATTTGACTCTATCTTCGGAAGCAAAATCTGGCTTGTCCTAACCTTAACATCAGGAGAGTATTAAAACCGTGAAAGGCCAGCTTGTAGAATGCAGAGGACTTTCATGAGTGGAAAGGGCACTGTCTGGAAAAGCCTTGTTTCATGATCTCAAAATATCCCATGAAAACAGGCCTGTCTTCTCAAGGCCTTCTGGAGGCCACAGGCTGCTGCTGCATTGTCGTGCATTTCTAGTCATCAGCCACAACCAGAACCAGTCCAATGTGGAGCAGAACGCTGTTTAGAAAGGAAACATGTCCCTTGACCAAATTGAGAGCTATATTTCTTAGTTAAACACGTGTTAGACTCTCACAAGCTAGACCTTGTCTGAGGTAAGAGAGGAACCTGTATTGGCCATCTTAAATGAGAAGTATAGACATCCATTCAGAAGAGATAACATCATTTTGCCAGTTGCCAGGAAACTGTTAACTTGATTTTTACAATTCTCCTTCCACTTAAAACAAATTTGCTTTATTCATGTTAACCTTTAGCGGGTGTTCACTTGTACTTGAATATGCTTTATAGATGAGAGCGGCTACCGGTGGTCTATCTAATACAAACAGAAATCAGTTTCTAAAAATCCTTGAGGTATAATTGATATAAAATAAACTGCACAAATTGAAAGTGTAGAATTTGATAGGTTTTACCAGATGTGTATTTATACCTGTGAAGCCATCACCACATTCAAGATAATGAACATATTAGATTTAGTTTCAAGTGACCATTATAATCTGTGGACTTACAATTCATGTATGTATCAAGGTGTATGTGTATCTATGCCACTTTAAATATTTAATCTATTCATCTTAAAAAGCCAGTTATGATAATACCAATTGACTTGAAAATCTAGGGAGGGAAAAATCAAGAAATCTCAAACTCCTGATCACTAAAAAACCATGTTATTAACAAATAGAAAATTATGACTGCTAAGGCAGTCAAGCCAATTCCCAGAGAGGTCTTGCTTATTTTTCTAACCTCATACCCTTGTACCTTAATTAACGTACTGGGAATATGTCTTAATCCAATGATGAAACACAGTAAAGGCCTGTAGAGAAATCCCGTAACTCGCTGAATTTAATTTGCAAACAGCTTACCCTCTCCTTTAACCCCTTCTCGCCTATGTTTCCTGCCCTTAATTATATCTCTGGTTTCATCTTGGGAGGCAGAAATGAACCACCAAAGGGAAAATTAAAATTCTATGATGTCATTCATAACGTGCTATATTAAAGTTGCAAAGCAAAAAATGCACAGGGCCACCATAAAATGCTAACTATTCAATTAAGTTCATCCAATGAAAAAAATAAATGCTGCCTGAAGGCTTCACACCATCGAGAAAGCTCTTTCGTCCCACCTAGCAGAAGGCCTGGCATCGGCTTCCTGTTCGGCCATTGCACAGTGCAGACACTGCCCGCTTTGGTGCTTTTTAAAAGGCTTTAACAACTTTGCTAAATGAGAGTCAATTTGAAAAAGTTAAACATTTCAATTTTTATTAAGCATCATATTCCTCCTAAAGAGAGAAGATTTTAGATTTTTATCAGCTTGAAAACATTGATGGCAAGGCATGAACTTCCATTTTGCATAAAGTTTTATTAAGATTAAGAAAATATTGGCTGGGCAAAGTGGCTCATGCCTGTAATCCCAGCACTTTGGAAGGCCGAGGCGGGTGGATCACGAGGTCAAGAGTTTGAGACCAGCCTGATCAACATGGTGAAACCCCATCTCTACTAAAAATACAAATATTAGCTGAGCGTGGTGGTTTGCACTTATAATCCCAGTTACTCAGAAGGCTGAGGCAGGAGAATCGCTTGAACCCGGGAGGCGGAGGTTGCAGTGAGCTGAGATCACGCCACTGCACTCCAGCCTGGGTGACAGAGTGAGACTCTGTCTCAAAAAAAGAAAATCCTATTTAAGATGCCACAAAATCTTTAAAATATCAGGTATATATGCATATGTATGTGTCTATATGTATGTGTTTTTTTTTTTTTTGGGGGGGTATATGTATGTGTTTTTAGGAGGAATTTAGTAGGGTATAATGGAGAGGCAAAAAATTTGCAGTATTATATAGTCTCACTGGATTAAAATAATAGAGCCGTAAGCTGTATTTTTCCTTTTATTAAAGTTTTCAGAGACAAATGTAGATTGACACGTGTCATGATCCTAGACCACTGTACAATGTACATTGAAGAAAAAATGAATATGGTATATATTTTGTTAAATAGTAGAGAGTGAAGATATAGTTGAGTAGAAAAATAAATTCACTTTGTGGATCAAGATTAGGAAAGGAGCCATGTTTACTAATATAAAATAAAATTCAAAATCATATACCTCTAATATCTGGTCACCAGCCCAAAGTCTTCCATCTCTCGCTGCTGCCCCTTCTTCATATACTTCATGGATAACTATAGCATTCTATAAAAAAGAAAATCTTATTAATTTTCAACAACCACAAATGCTTCCTTAAGCAAACAACCAATAGGCAGTGACCCATAATTTTCTATTTGTTAATAATATATTTTATCTGACATAAAGATACACAATATACAGAATATGATATATTCAGAGGTATAATTAAATTTTCCTAAGATAATTATTTCATTCCTTTAAAACTGGCTTTGCCTAATATTTCAGGTTAAACGTCCTGCATGTGTTTTACTGTTAACCCTGTACATTGCTGCTGTGTATGAACTTGAGGTGAACTATGTGTCATTCTTATTTATATTTTATAGTGTATTTTGAAACATGGTTTCAGGTATTTACGGGTATTCAAGGATTTGGTATAGCTGTGTGGCCTGATGAGGGGGTTTTGCCAGGCCTTATTACTTGGGCAATAAAAGAAAGGAACTTAGTGGAACGAATGGGTCTTGTAGGAGAGGAAAACAGGAGTAGGAGAAACAGCATTCATGGACCCAAGTGTAAAACAGCTGTGGGTTCGAATCTGGACTCTGCTTTCTTGTAATCTCGGGCAATTAATTCCTTTGAACTCAGCAATCTGAGCCATAAAGTTAGAACGACAATATCTACTGTAGGTAAGCCTTGGTTGGGAAAAGTGTTTCCTAGTTAATGAATTAAAAAATAATTTGTATCTCTTCAGATTCATAACCTTAAAGATTTTATCATCATAAAAATGACATGTATCCATGTATTGGATTCAAGCAATACCACTACAGGTACAAAAACAGGCTGCCTCCCACCCAGACTCAGTCCCACTCTCTAGACAATTCACATTTATACACCCAAACAGTTATATAATTTGACGAAAGACTATTCTAAACATATTAAATTGAGTTTGTCCACTTTCTTTTTCCCTCAACCCCTCCTGTAGAGCAAGTAGTTGAGCTTTGCAGTTCTTTGCCTTGGGGATTTTTGTAGAGCGGAAACCTGAAGCAACCAGAAGACATTGGCTCTTTCTGTTTTTAATAGACCCGAAGAGCACTGAATGGATTATGATAATTATGATAGGTGTCTTAGAGGGCTGCTGGGAGAGGGACACAGCTTTTTTTTTTTTTCTCTTGAGACGGAGTCTTGCTCTTTTGTCCAGGCTGGAGTGCAATGGCGTGATCTCGGCTCACTGCAGCATCCGCCTCCCAGGTTCAAGTGATTCTCCTGCCTCAGCCTCCCGAGTAGCTGGGATTACAGGCATGTGCCACCACACCCGGCTAATTTTTGTGTTTTTTTAGTAGAGACGGGTTTTGCCATGTTGGCCAGACTGGTCTTGAACTCCTGACCTCAGGTGATCCGCCTGCCTCGGCCTCCCAAAGTGCTGCAATTACAGGTGTGAGCCACCACACCCGGCCGAGGGACACAGCTTTTGAGTGGAGATTAGAAACAAAGGTCTATGGGTCCCACAATAGGGATTTGAGTCCAGCAGTGCCCAGGGTCCTCCTATTCCCTGCCCCAGTGCACACACACAGGTTTTAAGACCCTGATGGCAATAGTCAAGGGCTAACACCTCTGATACCTGTCAGACCCTAGAAGCTGACACTTATAGGACTCCAGCCATGAAAGAAGTCAAGTGGCAGGACGTCTGGACTTGAGAGATCTTATAGGCTTAGGCAAGGACAGGCTTGATGATGAGCAGGCAGTGCTGATAGCAATGACCATAAGGGTGTCACCAACATCTGGGTGCTTGGTTGGGACCCTTCGGAGTTAAAGAGCCACCAAAATGGCTGAGGTTGAATTTCACTTTAGCCCAGAAGTATGGCATCTCAGAATTAAGTTCATATTAAGTAAATAAATGAATACTTCTTGTAAAAATATGAAAAGATAGACATAATAGACACACACAAACACACACCCCAAACTGTGCTTGTTTGCTTTTTAATTTAAAAAGTTTTTTTTGAGGTAGCATCTCGCTTTGTTGCCCAGGCTGGAGTGCAGTGGCTCAATCATAGCTCGCCGCAGCCTCGACCTCCCAGGCTCAGGTGACCCTCCTGCCTCAGCCTCCCAAGTAGCTGGGAATATACATGTGCACAACCATGGCTGGCCATTTTTTTTCTTAAAGTAGAGACGGGGGTCTCACTATGTTGCCCAGGCTGGTCTCAAACTCCTGGGCTCAAATAATCCTTCTGCCTTGGCTTCCCAAAGTGCTAGGATTATAGGTATGAGCTGCTATACCCAGCCTTTTTTTTTTTTTTTAAAGAGAAGGAGTCTCACTATGTTTCCCAAAAATCCTGGGCTCAAGTGATTCTCCTGCCTGATCCCGGGAGCTGGGACTACAGGTATGTCCTATAGCACCAGGTTTACTTTCTTTCAAAAACAAAAACAACAACAGAAAACAAACTAAAAAAGTTTTCTATACAAATTCCACAGTAGAGAAACAATAAAAGAAAACAAGAAGTCTATAACTGGATAACCCATCTGGATTCCAAATATTTTTACAATACTGAATACAGTACTTTCATTTTATCGCTATACAGTTCTGAAAACATTCTTTACTGTAGCAATTAGAGAGGCAGCCCCCAAGAGCCAGGAAAAGTTTTTGGACCCAGACAATTTACATTTCAGATTCTGTACCAGCAATGGATTTTAGACCATTCTTTGTTTTAACTCTGACTTAACGAAATTTCCAGACCCAGGGAGCATTTACACTGCCAAGAGTTTGTTTCTCTGAACTATTTCAGGGGAATGATTTGGAGGAAACTTGTGGGGTCAGTGGCTTGCGGTGATCCCAGAGATACTACTGAGATCCTAATAAAGGTCATTTGTATTAAGGTAGTATGAGGAGAAACCAATGCAGATTCCTGGTAGTACCCTGTAATGATGCTGGTTTTCAAAGTTTGGTGCCCAAATACCGTATCTGCACTGGATTGAGAGAGTCGCTCAAAACCTCGGACTATGCCTGGATTTTACAAAGTTTGATTTTCAGCAAAAACTCCTTTGATCTTGGAACATTATAAAAGGTAAATAGGAAATTTCTGTTCACTCATACTCAAAAGAAAGAAAAGACCCCCTTGGAGTTTTTGGTCCACAAAAGTGGTCTAAATTAAAAATTCTTAATTTGTAGTGCTACATAAAGGATGGCAATAACCATAATGGAATAATATGTTAATAGTTTCAAATGCCAAACTCACCGCAAATGATCCATTTTTAGTGCGGAATTCTTTCTGTACGTAAAACTCTTCATTTATTTATTTCTTTTTGCTTGACTGCTACTGTAATTTCTCTTAAAGTTATTAGTGAAGGCCAGGAGTAGTGGCTCATGTCTATAATCCCAGCACTTTGGGAGGCCAAGGTGGGTGGATCACCTGAGGTGGATGAATCACCTGAGGTCAGAAGTTCGAGACCAGCCTGGCCAACATGATGAAACCTTGTCTCTACTAAAAATACAAAAGTAGCTGGGTGTGGTGGTACATGCCTGTAGTCCCAGCTACTCCGGAGACTGAGACAGGAGAATCACTTGAACCCGGGAGGTGGAGGCTGTAGTAAGCTGATATCATGCCACACTCCAGCCTGGGCAAGACAGAGTGAAACTGTCTCAAAAAATAAAAATAAAAAAAATAAAGTGAAGATACAAGAAAACATGAGACACTGTGATCTGTCAATAGAAAAGGGCCATGTTTCTTTTTGTTTGTTTTTTGTTTAATTTATCTAGTGTATTTAGGGGGGGAAAAGGCCACATTTCTTACTGGATGCCCCTGTAGTCTATGAAGCTGTGGTTCTGGATAGTTGCACTAACTGGAGGTGAGACGTAAAAGTGGGGACCAAGAGCTAAATTAGAAATGTGGGCTGGGCCAGGCATGGTAGCTCATGCCTGTAATCCAAGCACTTTGGAGGCCAAGGCAGGCAGATCACCTGAGGTTGGGAGTTCAAGACCAGCCTGACCAACATGGTGAAACTCCATCTTTAAAAAAAAAAAATAGAAATTACCTTTTATAATGTTCCAAGATCAAAGTAGTTTTAGCTGAAAATCAAGCTTTGTAAAATCCAGGCATATAAAATTACCTTTTATAATGTTCCAAGATCAAAGGAGTTTTTGCTGAAAATCAAGCTTTGTAAAATGTGGGCTGGTGAATAAAAAAAAAAAACTGATTTATGTTTTAAAACATGTAGTTCAGAGAGTGGAACAGAAGAGTAAAAAGGATAGTGGGTTGGGATATGTTAGGCATATATTTTGTGAATAGAGGAAATAATAGTTCATTAAAATACTTTTTTTTTTTTTCAGACAGAGTCTCACTCTGTTGCCCAGGCTGGAGTGCAGTGGTGCGATCTTGGCTCCCTGCAACCTTCGCCTCCCAGGTTCAAGCAATTCTCCTGCCTCAGTCTCCCAAGTAGCTGGGATTACAGGCATGCGCCGCCACCGTGCCTGGCTAATTTTTGTATTTTTAGTAGAGATGCGGTTTCACTATGTTGATCAGGCTGGTCTTGAACTCCTGACCTCATAATCTGCCCACCTTGGCCTCCCAAATTGCTGGGATTACAGGTGTGAGCCACCGTGCCTGGCCAAAAATTAAATTAAAAATAAGGTGTTGATTATGCATATGATGCTTATCTCATCATTGGATATCCTAAATTTTAATGCTCTTGAATTATTCAAGCAAAACTGCAGCTCTCAGTGCCTTCTCCCCCACCAGCCCTCCCTTCCTATCTCTGCATATGTAAATAATATCCCAAAACCCAAGACCTCAGTGACTCCAGTCTACAAATACCAGTGATTCCTAAAACTCATCTATCCTAAAAGCAGTCCATGAATCAACCCACTCTTCAGGTGGCTTGCTGGCTTACTGTGAAGACAGGCTATAGAGGCAAAGGATCACGAGCTAGGCTTCTGGAGTTAGACTTCTTTGGTCTAAATCTTGGCCCTGTTTCTGCTAGCTGTAGGCCTTGGGAAGACTGTTAACCTCTCCAGGGCTCAGCTTTTTTTCGTTTTGAGATGGAGTCTTTCTCTGTTGCCAGGCTGGAGTGCAGTGTCG